AAGGGCCACTTTAGACACAGACTTTATCCTGATGACCAAGAGTTTACAAAACACTGTGGGAGAAAGATGACATCTTTCGGTTTAGGACCGGTAGCTCCCTCCAGAGCAGTTATGGGATCCGTTCAAGAGTCTTGTTAACTCTTCCACCTCCTTTCCTACATCTGCCAAGTGGGTTTTGTGCTGGTTCTGGGGACGTGATTCCTAGGGGTGTTAGGAAGACACAGAAGCATGGAATGGCGGGGCTGTCAACGATCTTGGTAAAGACCTCAGCAGGCTCAAGGTTTCCACTAGTTTAGGGTTCCAAGATTTTATTAAGAAGTCACCTGCTTGGAGGTCAAGACATTTCTCCAGATTATAAAGACCTCATTACTAGTAGCAAGGTTGCTTTGGGGAACAGAGGTGTCCCACTCGTCCACTTCGACAGCCATCGTGGAGGTCATGCACCCCACCTTGGGAAAAGAGACTCCCCAGACTCCAAGCTACTGGATGTGGGTTCATTCTTGCACAGAAGAAGGGTCGTCTGGGGCTTGAGCACATGAAGGCAGAGAGACCCTTCTAGGGGTGAGGGGCAGGGGGTGGGAGGGAGGGCGGGCTGGAAGCAGAACGGGTTTTCCTCCCCTCTTGCTCCTCCATCATAACCCTTGCATTGCTCCCACTGCTCACTTCAAGTATAGCCAGTGCTAAGAATGCAGCCTCCATGTGGGGCTGCAGAAAATGGGGCTGGGCGGCCTCCCGGGGATGGAGGGGAGAGGAGGGGAACTCCAGGGGCAGTTGGGAAGGAAGAGGAACCACCGCAGACACACCTGTCTGGGGCGGTTGTGCATATGTGGGTCAGGGAGTCATCATTCAGGAACTTCCCGTATTACACTGCTAATCTCTGCTTTAGGGTTAAAGGCAGAACAATAGCAGTTTACTCAGGAGGAAAGGACCATTAGCAAATAGGTTAATAAGGTTTCTGAAAAAGTAAGAGGAAAGATGATCATTTAACCTGTGTCTTGATTCAAGATAGTGATTCTCAGTGTATTGGAATCCCTGAAGAGCTTTCAAAGTATTGATACCTGGCTGATTTACTTGGATACTGGGATTTTTTTTTTCCTTAAAGCTTCTTTAGATGATTTTGCTGTGCAGCCAAGATTCAGAATATCTGAATGAAAATGTGTGTTTCCCAGATCGTTAGCTGACCCTGAGTCCCTGAAGTATACGGGAAATCAAACATGCTTTTCGTGTACTGTTGAACACAGTAGTTCTAATGAAGGCACAGGGTCTTACGTAAAATAAACGATTAAGTAGTGTTAACAGGGCTACCAGAGTGCACGCATGTTTCTTTATTATTTCAAGCTGTTTAATATTGTTAATCACTGTTGTCGTCATGAACGCACACGCCATGCTTGTCAATTTCACTCTCATTCCTGCCATTAAGTTTTCAGAATGCTACTCGTCCGCAGGTGGCGTTTTTCATAGTACTGTTCACCTTGTCAGCAGAAACTTGTTCTTAGTCACTGCTGCAGCTGTCTCCTTAAAAAAAAAAAAAAAAAAAAAAAAAACCTCCCTGGTCTTTCTAACCATGACCACAGTGAAAGGGGAGATGCCTTTTCTGAGTTCCTGTAAGGAGTTGTGTGTCTAAGAATCAGGGAATTTCTATGGTTTTTGACGAAGTGTAAACGAAATTACTTGCCAAGATGGTTATTCCTTCTGCAAAAGTTTTTCTATAAGAGGAGATGCAGGTGTGTGACTCTTAATTAATGTTCAAGGTTGTTTCTAGGTTACTTCTTAGGGTTACAGAGGCTGCAGGGTTGGGGTAGGGGGTGCAGAGAAGATAAATTCTGCCCTAATTCCTTAGTCAGTCGGTCACAGAGTGAGACCTTTGTCCATCTTGTCTTGTGGGTTTGATTATGTTAATTAGCCATTTCTACAACATAAAGACAGGTTTAATTCTTCAGGCATACATAAAACATAGTGCTTTATTTGGGGCTTTTCAAATCTCTCATCAGCATCATGCCTTGCATTTACAGAGAGCCTTTGTTTCCAGAAACGCACACTGTGTCATAGATTTCACCTCACTTATCTTTCACACCACACGATGTGATGGTGAAGGTTGGGTATTGGAATGCCAGCTTCTCAGACAGCAAACTCTGAGGAGATGTTGACTTACTTCTTTTAGGTTGCCTTTTAAGTGTCGTGTTCGTACAGGGTTTTGCTGAAAATTATTTTGGTAGTCAACATTTTCCAGAGAGAGAAATCTTTTCCAGGCCTAATTGGCACTTGTTACTCTCAGTCTAGTTTACAGGGCTTTTTCTATTTCTGTTTCTTTCTCAGCCTGAGGCAACCTAGGAATTATCTGATATGTGTGAAACAAGAGAATTTGTTCATTTTGACCCTGGGAGCAGTTGTAACCCGGCCTTCTTTCTTACTGATAGAGGTGTGTGGGATGTGGCGTCTCCTGGCTTATTGGAAATGGACTGCGTTCACTCAGGACCTGTGGGACTACATGCAGACATCACTGGGGCTGCCGTTTTAGTGACTTGCGTCAGCATGTCTCTGGATCACCCCTATTTGAACTCAAGTGCAAATCTTGCTCTGGTCTCCTGTCTTTAAAACCTGGTGCTTCTTAGGAGGCATGTGGTCCATTTAAGCAGTAGACACTTTATAAAGATACATCACAGGGCAAAAAAATCTTTTCCGTTTTGAAGGAGGTCTGAGTAACCACCCCCGGCAACCAGCTGAGGGTGTGAGTTTAAGCAGTAGCTTCTCTTTCTCTCTCTCTTCCTTTTCTAAGGCTTCCAGATATAGTCATTCAAGAAAGCAATGAAGACGAGCTAAGCCCAGAGTGAGGCTGTAACAGAGGAAAGCTGCTTGGGGAGTGGGGAGAAGGTTTACGAGGCACCAGAGGCAGGTGGAAAGGGAGGGAGGAGGAAGAGATGGTTAATGTACAGGTGCGAAGCATCCCTTTGGGGCGTCCTCTGCCTCCCGGCTCTGCAGAAGCCTGACCCTCGTCCTTCCCTCTGCCCAGATCTTATGGTCCCTGAGTCCCTCGGAGCTCACACCCAGAGGCACCGTGATCGCAGTGGGAGAGCAGCCACATGGCAGGTAGAACATGCCTGGAAGGTATCTCTCCTTTGGGGGCAGAAATTGAGATGCGCTCTCTAATGGCTCTAATGGCGCCCTTGATACAACTGAATAGTAACTCTCTCAGTTCATTCCTCGTTAGCCCCAGGCAGGGACACTGCGGATTGGCTAACTGTAATAGCCACATCATTAAAGGGAATAGCATTAATGGAGGAGAAGGCAGCTGATTAGATCCAAACTTGCCCACCCTTTACTGTGCCCAGGACACCAGCCGCTCTTCATTTAAGTACCTGTTTCTTCTGCTATTAGAATTAGTTAGGAAGAAGGGATTCAGTGACCTTCTTTCAGAAGGGTGATGGAAAGCTTACAAGGCATTTGTGGATAAATCTGAGAGCAAGACTGTATTTTTCCTAGAGCTTACACCAGCTGCTTCTGTATAAAGTCACACCTCCTTTCTTATACTGATATGACCCACTATATCAGTAGGACGTGTGCTTTCGAGGGGTTCCCAGGAGTGGTGGTATGTGTTGCCAAGCTCACCTGATCTCCACCTTGAGGGAAGGCAGTCAGCTACACCATGCAGGGATTGAGGGTGTAACCTAGGCCACAGAGTGCATGCATTTAATTTTCCCATCCAGGTCTAAAGCCCATGACCTTGCCCACGTCAGCAATGGGTCCCAGCCAGATGAGCTGAGCATCCTTCAAGCATAGACCCCCCCCCCCACCATGGAAACCACAACCTGGCATGAAAAGGAATCACAGCTTGGGATTCTCTTTACTATTCATGTCAGAAATATTTAAGAAATTCAGAAGAAAAAAAGAAAGAAAGAAATTCATAGCCTCTCTGGGTTGGAAAGGATCTTAATTAAAATATTTTTAAATTACAACAATAAAGAAATCTATTTGAGTTTCTTGCTTGCCTTCAGAAGAGTTGCTCCAAGTTGTAGATTCTAGTGCTTTTTCGGATTGTATTGGGTGGAACCCTCAGATCGTGTCGGCGGACCCGGGGCACCGACTGTTGGAGGAGAGGACTGTGGTCTTCATGTTTTGTTCGGCTCTGTTCTGCTCTGACTGTAACTGATAAGCGTTGACTTGCCGGGAGGTATCAGCTCATGTAGAAGTAGCATCTTGGAGTTAGTTACAAGGCACCGTGAGTTCCTTCCCGGCACAGGAGCCCCTTTCGCCTCACCTTAAATCGACTTTAGGAGGCACAATAAGCCAGACACATTCCTAGCGCACAGGTGTCTGGGGCCGGTCCTGCCCTCTGAGGTGCTACAGAGAAGCCTTAACACTTCCTGACACTGGCCCTTCTGTATTTGAAGACATCTTTGAGGATCCTTTAAATCACTTGCCCCCACAGGCCACATGCATCCTTGGTGCCTCCATCACCCACTCCTCACTTGGGAGAAGGGCGGTGTGCATGTTCAGACAGTTGGAGGAGCCTTGTTGGATGGCGGCCACTGTGATTTCTGGAGGCAGCCTCGCTCCTTCTGGGGACACAGGTGTGCCCATCAACAGACACCGGCCAGCCGTTGGATGGGCCTTCCCTTCTCACGGCCCCCCGGGGTCTTGGCAGTACATGCAGATTTGCTGCTCTTTGGATAAACAGAAAGGCGTTGAGTAAGGGAAATGGTTTCTGTGGTTGTTGAAGAAAATGTTAGAGACAAAAAAGAACATAGTTTTGCTCAAAATTCCCTCGGATGAGATTACTGTGCAAGGTGAAGTCCTCATACGCACAGGCGGTCCCTAAATGCCCCGACGGTGCTGCTGACTGCGCCCCGCGGGCCCGCTGGGCCCCCGGCCGGATTCTGGCGGCTCCCCCGGCTCAGGGTCGTGCCTGCACTTCCCTCATACATTGCATTTAGTCCCCTTTCTTCAGCGAAACGCGCTTACTTCTTCCTTCTGTGTTCCCAGTAGGAGAAACAACGGGCTTAAAGTCGGCACCCTGGCTTAGGGGCCTGTTGAGTGACCAGTGATCAGGCACCTGCTGGAATTCTGTGAGGGGTGAGGGCGCAAAGCGATGAAATATTCCAAAGCTGCCACTGTTCTTATGAGTTTGAGCTGACCTCGTGGGATGCCCCGTAAGCTGTGAATCCTCTGTTGCCTGGCTGGCCCTACTTGCTTGTAGTTTCTTATTTCTCCTCTTTTTGCTGGCCGTGCCGTCTCCTGGGCTTAGCCCTGGTAATCTTCAGACCCAGGGTCCCCCTGTGGATGGGGAGTAATGATGCCTTTCTCGCAGGCTTGTTGTGAGTCTGAAATAAAAATGCCTTCATGGGAAGTGTATTCCACGTGCTCCCTTAATGCCCTCCTTCCCTGGCTCTTGCAGTGACTGTATTTGTCAACCAAGATTGGGACATGTGTTCTAAGGAGTATAAGTGTTTATGTATGAGGACCCAGATGTGTTTATGGGTAAACTGAGATGGAGTTTTGAATATGGGGGCCCTCTTGGAAATTCTAGGACTTTCGGTGGCAGAATCGGCAACACTGGTATAGGCCTTGGCTCCTGGGAGACGCTTAGTGGTGCTGAAATATTTCATAACCATCACAGGAAGAGCAAAACCGTAATGACCGTTTATGGCAACGCTTGACTGCAGGGCCTGTTGCTAATGCATCTTTTTATTCATCCAGTTGTGCAAAGATAACTTAGTTCTGGGCGAAAGATTTAAGGTGCTTTGACTTCAGTGTATCTTTTTGATCTGTTTGACGGACACAGTATGCTGTCTTCTGATTCTAGGATATAGCAGGCTGGGAAGGGGAGGAAAGGACTGTCTCTTTCAGTTCTAAGTATGTAGGACTCTGCACGGTTCAGGTCCTGAACCCATCTTCTTCACTGTCCAAAGCAAGAGTCCTCTTGGACAGGTGAAGCCAGGCTTCTAGGAAGATGCCCATGTCAGCGTGAGTGTCGTCTTTGGGGTCCAGCCCCCCAGGGCTGATGGGCATCTGGATAACCAAGGGAGGGAGCTCTAGAGACCAGGAGTGTAATTCCTACCCATCCCACTTTTCACACGGTACTCCCCCACCCCACCCCAAATTACTGCAAGTGTGTTGAAGGCCAAAAACCAGTCAGGGTATAAAACTCTAATGACTCAGCACCCGGAGGGGAGCTGGACACTGAGAGGAAAGCCAACTTGGGCTGCTGGTTTAGATGTCTTCTGGAGCCTCCGTAGGATGGAAAGATAGCGTCACAGCTTCACTGCTGTGATTTGTTGGGTCTGGTTTTCTGCTTCAGAATTCTTATTTGATTTCCTCAGACTCTGAGGGATACTGTTCTCACCCCAGATCCTAAAGGACACTGTTTCTTTCTGGAGAGATGCCAGAATCGTCCTGGACCATGGCTGTGTGTACAATTTAGAAAAGTTTAAGGTGATCTTGCTGCATTTGGGGTTCATAAATCTCTTCAATGTAGTTTTTCAAGCAAAAGAAATGGACACTGAGATGTGTTATAGTTTAGGTTCTTGGGTCCATGACACCAAAAACTAGAAAACTGTGCAGCTCAGAACGCAGCCTTGTTCAGTCTTGTGGGGGTGCGTTGCTTTCGCTTGTTAAAGGAAGCTTATTTACCGAGAACCACCTTGAATTATTTTGCAGCTTGAAGAGTGTATTTAAATAATTGCGTGTTCAGACTTCAGTCTAGTAAGTCTCACTAAATAGCTTTCTATCTGAGAGATGTCTTCTGTTCAGTCCACAGAGGATGGCTGTGGTACCCACAGCAGCTTTCCTGGGCAGCTTTCCTAAAAACCTGCAGGGTGGAAAAGAGATCTTTCCCTCAAAATATCGAGTATCACCAGCACAACCGCTGTATCTCTGGTACCTGCTGTTTCCTGTCTTGTCTGAGTTGCTGGTTTGGTGAAGTGACACGTAAGTACAGCAGAATGAAAGGGGCACCTGTAGCATTTTTCCCATAGTGCCTTGGGAAATGGTCCACGGGCACCGCTGGAAATGGTGCTCTTTGTCCTTAAGACTGTGCAGGCTTCAGAAACCACCACTGGGGTAATCTTGGCATTCATAGTGGGGATGGGGGCTATTTCTGGAAAAAGATCCAGAATCAAAGGCATCTCAGCTTTACAGATGAGGAATCTTTCAAGCTACCCGTAAACCTTTCTTTTTCCAAGTACAATTGTCCCTCAGTATCTGTGGGGGATTGGTTCCAGGACCCCTGAGGATACCCAAATTCACGGATTCTCAAGTCCCTTATATAAAATATTGTCGTTTTTTGCATATAATTTATGCACATCCTCCCATGTACTTTAAATCACCTCAAGATTACTTAAAGTCCCTAATACAATGTAAATGATATGTAAATAGTTGCCAGCACGTGGCAAATTCAAGTTTTGCTTTTTGGAACTTTCTTAAGTTGTTTTTTCCCTCCCCCCGCCCAATGTTTTTAACCTGCGGTTGGTTGAATCCCCAGATATGGGGGGCGTACTATGCAACCAAACTGTATTTCAGTTTTTCTCAATTCCCAAAATGCTTTATCTTGATTTCCAGAAGGTTCATATGTAATGAGCAATCAGCTCTTAAGTGTCTCAGCCCCTCAGCTTTTTCAGTTATTAATGGCGTAAAAACAAATGCATAAATGTGCTAGGGGGATATCCATGATTTATAGACCCTCCAAGTTGAATAATCTGGAAAAGGAAAGACATTTTTTGGTAATAGGAATGTTCAGTGTTTAACTCTTCTAGTCTGTAAGATGCAGCCATGGGGCGAGGCTTAGGGGGAGAAAACACTGCTCTCCTCCTGAACATGAAACGTACAAGCTTGGTCTACGCAACAGTCACAGGTTCTAAGCAGCCAGTTTAAAAACGAGCAGAATTGGATGGGTACCTTCTGACCCCTTCACGGTCAGGGAACGGTGAGGAGAGGGAGTATTTCCACAGCGTGCTTGTAGCAACCCTCCTCCATATTCCATTTAATTTTTTTTAAGCTTTCTAGACTGGTTAGTAACATTTACATTTCATCCTTTGCCTAAAACTATTTTTAGCATATTTTCTCTTTTCAGAGCTTGGTGCTGCTCTTCCAACCACCCCTCCCCTTCTCAGAGGTACTACAGTCGGCCCTAGAAGTGTCCGTGCCTCCTTTTGTTCCGCCGGTTGGTTTGATAGGTTGTGTCTGCACATTTAAGAGCAGCATGTTTTACTTTTTCAGCATCTAAACAATAATGGAACTACATCACAGCATTTTTAAGTCCCATCATTGACCTCTGCCATCAGTGTACCCCTCCCCCCGAACAACACTTGAATGCATTAATACCACTGTCTGCAGCATTTTAATTTAATTAGAGCAGTGGTTATAATCCTCTTGGGGAAATTGTTATTCCCCTCTGTAATGTTAAAATAAAACACCTCTGGTTTTCATCTGACTGACAGTTTGCTCTAGAAGTGAGTGAGCTTTAATGGGTACCCCCTTCCCTTTCCGGGGGTTGGACAAGAGGAGCAACTGTGAGAATAAAGACGTTTCCTTTACTCGGCGGAATTGGACGTTAGTCTCTTTCTGCCTCCTTGTCTGGATGTGTCCATTGGAGGTAGTGATGTGTTCATATCATACTTCTGACTGCTGAGAGTCCGCCGATTGTGTCACGGTGGAGGTTAAGGACATGCATGGTTAGAAGAATAGATCTTAAAAAGAGGACCACGTGACTCGCCCTAGAGATTAACAAAAAGAGAGACAAAGGAGATAAGTCTGTGGTGTGGGATTCCCTCGGAAAGGAGCCCCCACACTGGACCACATCCTTTCTGGGGTCCCCGGACTGCTCTGCTGACCACTGAACCAGGGTCACAGTAGGTATGAAATGGCCCCTAGCAAATTGCTTGAGGCCCTAGGAGCACATTTTGCTTTTCCCCCTCTTGGTCAAGGTCCCCTCTGTTACTGACAAAGCTCTTCACTGAACGTTGGAAAAGAGCTTCCCACCTCAAGCTTATGACGTCGCAATATTGCTGAGTGGAAACCATCGCCAAGAGCGTTCAGAGTTCACAGTCACTCAATCTTGGGCCTTCTTTTTACAGGTTTCATCATGAAATAGCAGGATTGTCTTCATCTAGAATTGTTTGGACATGGGGGGTGGGTGGCAGAAAATCCGAGGGCAGGCACCCAAGTGTGGTACTTCCGGGTAAGGACAGGGAACCACGCACAAAAGCAGCCACACAGCAGGCTGCTTCCCAAGAAATTACAGTGGAATGAAGGTACAACACAGTGACAATTTAGCAAGTCAGAATATATACGTTTTAAAGGTGATCCCTAGCTTGGCTCTTTATCAGCTGGCTGGGGGTCTGTTTCCCAAGAAATAAAGTGAAAAAGCCTTGAGGGCTGGGTCTCCCCCAACTTGTCCCTTATGGAGTTGGTGAAGGTGAGGGGAGCTCTGATCAGGTGACCCCTCCCTCCCAGGGACTCATTACAGGATTTCGGAAGTTTCTCCTTGCTCTAAGAGAAAGTCACCATCTTAAGAAATGCCATCCTTTTTTTTTTTTTTGTCTTGCACTCATGTCGTGCATCTCTGGCTGCACCGTATTTTCTTCATCAACAGTTTCACTTCTGCAAAAACCCTAACAAAACAGAAAGCTATTTCTGGGAATAAAGTTAACGGTAGATAAGATATCTAGACATATATTGGGAAGGGGCAGTGGGGAGGGTTATATTTGAGGGTTGAAGTGTGTGGAGAATTTGTTCAACTAGAAAAAACAGACTCTGTTTCAAGTGTTTAAAAAGCCTGTCTCACCCTGAAAACCCCCTAAACAGATTTGGTATGTTTCCCACATGTGTGTTTATGCCTTTGCCTTTTTCACCTCAAAAACCCCAAACCAAACTCCGAAAATGTAACTCATCCTTGAGTTAAAGTTGCTCAAAATATGTGTGAGGTTTGGTAAAGTTCAAGAAAAGTGAAGTTGAAGGTTTTGCCTCTGGGTGACCTTTCACAGGGCATCTTGATGGATCCAGAAATAAAATCAAGGGTGTGTGCATCTGCCCTTAATTAAGAAATTCACCAGGAAACTTTAGAATGATGTTCAAACAGAAATATCCCAAATTGCCCTACTTGCTGGGGAGGATGCCTCAGGGAAGGTATAGCAATTCCATTCGGAAATTACAGAAATCCATATACATACATTTAAAATCGAAACTTCCTACCACAACCGCCAAACTTTCCAGGTTATGAGCAAAAGACAAGCTTCAGTTTGGTGACAGGGCTGGGGGACCCCCCTGCTTCCCTTTGCATATTTGATGGAGTATAAAATGTTAGCGAGCTCTTTCCAGAATGTAAACACCCTCTTCACTTTATTTTAATCTGTGGTTTTTCTTTTGCTCATGATTTTTGTTTTCATGATAGCATCTCACTGATCTCCCCCCCCCCAATTTATGTTTGGACCGTGTGCGTCTCGCTTTACTCTGCCCAGTTAATCCACAGTAACTTAACAAGTTATGTTTATGTATGGACTGCAAGTCAAACTAGTTGATATGTGGGTCTAGGATGCAAATTGCTGCTGAGCACAATAGCTGGAGTTTTTGTTGTTGTTTTTGCCATTATTCGCCGTGTTTTAACGTAAAACTAATAATAAGCCTTCCCATCCCATCCGGTTGTTTTCATTGGTCTAACAAATGCTGCCTGTTTAAGTCTAAGCCGGGCATGTGCCGACTCCTTCCTCTGCCTCTCCTTGTCAGCTGAGTAAGTATCTTCACTTAAACAGTACTTCCTTAAACACAGATCCTTCTTTGAGTACTGACTCTGAGATGGAAGATGAAGGGACGGGGAGATACCTGTTGATGTTGCAGATAGTTCCCTGTGATGAACGGGAAAATGAAACACTGGAGATTTCTGGTGGTGGTGTTTGTGGAATGATGGAAACATTCTTGCTGGTGTAGATTTATTGACTCAGCCTAGAGCTTAGAAACCACTTTGAGCTCATCTCTGGTTGGATCTGAGTATGGAATCCTACTTTGATTTAGAAGCTGGGGATATTGCCAGAGAAGAGGAAACGTGGTTTTAATGTATTGGCGGCGTTAATTATGTGACTGGGAAGAGTAATTTTTGAGAGAGGAGTCTTTAAAGCCATTCTTTTGGACATGTTGTTTCATTCCCTTGGTCTTGCCTCCCTGTTTTACTTGAGCAAACCACCAGTATAGAGAGGAGAAAAATGGACACCTGTCGACCCAAGCCCAGAGGAAAAGCCCCATTCCAAACCTTTCCAGAGCTTTGTTATAAATCCCAAATGCCAGTGATCTGAAAGACAGCCGCACAGAGTATCTAGACAGGGGGCAGGCAGCCCTGTGCAGCCTGGCTCAGCCGGCACTCAACCACCCCACCCCCACCTTTTTTTTGGAAATACATTGATTTTATTACAGTTGTAGTTTAAAAGCAGAAAACAAGCCACAACAAATGTATGGCAGAAATAAGAAATAATGTAACCATGGTGTTTGATCAGCAGTATTGAAACTGATCATTTACTGTCCAAAGATTAGGCAGTGAAATAAATCAGTAGGTGGGGGAAATGGGGGGGGGAGTGGTAGTAAATGTCAGAAGAAAGCTGAATTTTCTCAGTTCGTTAGGAGGGAAAAGGACTACTGTGAAACTACAGCCACCAACAACTGTTGTGATTTAATCTATAAAATTTTCAAAACTTACAGAAAACTCAAATATAAAATGTTTAATAAACTGGCTTTTTGATAACTCAGGTGTTTACTTATAATTGAAGTTAATTTCTTAAGTGTTTATGAAATAGTGCATCAAAATCGGAAGCCAAGTGTCTTATACTAGGCATTAAGTTCCTATTTAGAATTTTTTTAGGATTTTGTATATTTAAAAGTACATAAGAAGTCTAAGAGAGGCTTACCAAAAGTTTTCAAAACTCAGTATATTTTCCTCATCTCCAGTAATCTGGAAACTTAGTTAAAACCATCTGGATCAGATTTCGAAACTGTCTTTAATAAGGCACGAACACCAAATAGTGGTAGGTGAGGATGTCACACCTCAGTTCCAGGCTTTCATTGTCTTTTCCCCCCTCCCCTCTTGCTGCCCTTCTGTTTAACAGCAGGAACGAATTTCATACACACCCCCCGAGAGCCCGGTGCCCAGCTACGCTGCCTCGACGCCGCTACATGTGCCAGTGCCCCGAGCGCTCAGGATGGAGGAGGACTCGATCCGCCTGCCCGCGCACCTGCGTGAGTGTTCGCACGTCTGGGGATGGACGGCGGGGTGGACGGGCTGGCTGGACGGAACGATCGACCGCGCCGGGTTGGGGAGGCGGGGCAGGGGCACGCTCCGAGATGGCATTCACGCGACTTCCAGAAGCTGCTTTGGCGTCGTTTGCCCCCACACACCCCAGAATGGCTTTGAAAAGCATGAGATTCCTGACCCTTGTTTCTCTGTGTGTTCATTTCCTCTCTGACCTTGACCTGCCACCCCCATATCTGAACATGGGCAATCTAAGGTCCACTGAATGGCCTAAGAGGTGAGGTGGATTGGGGGGAACGTTTGTCCTCCTAAGTTCACACTTACTCCCCGTCAGAGCCCCTCAGTTTTGCACAGGTTTGGGGTCAGACTCTCTCCCCGCTCTGCCCTTTGCTGCCTGCCCGTCCTTTCTGCACAGGGCCTTCCCCTCCCGCTTCCTCCATGCCGGCTGCTCTCCAGCGTACCCCTACGGAGGGCCTGTCTCTCCCCCTCCTCTGCCGCGCCCCCCTCTCTCGTGCCCTCGTTGCCCTCCCCCTCCCAGGCCATCTCCGCCCCTCGCCTCTACCACCTCCCCTGGCTGATCCTCAGCTGTGACTTGGCCGGACGTCAGGGCGAAGGCGCTTGTGCTGCCAGGGCCGGGCTCCAGAGCACACGACACCTGTCCTTTCCTTTGTGTCTCTCTTTCCTGTGCTGCCACCCGGCCCAGATGACCCAGTGTGCTAGGTGCAGCCGGGGAGAACGAATCACCTGATCCCACCCTGGTCACAGTGTCCAAAAAACGCCAGGTTCTCTGGCTTGACTGTCCTCCTTAGGGCACAAGTCTCAGTTATGGAGGACACTGCGGGTCACCGTGGCCCTTCCCTCGTTGATTCGTCATGACTTACACAGTGGCGCGGTTATACTTGCCATCTCTGGTGTGATCACACTCCCCTGGCTATCCCGCTCCTCTTGGTCCACCCCTCCTCAGAAACCAGAAATTTGCTGAAACCAGGAATAGTGGGAGACCAAGGATGCAGGCTTCTCTTTTCTCTGTGTGTGATAATTCAGTGGATCAGATGACTGTGATGCTGGGAGGTACTGGGAGGATATGGGTGGTGAATCCCTTCTCCCCCATGGGGAGGATGCTGGCTGAGATTTCTGCAGGGAGTTGGGTGGGGACCATGAGAATCCTTCCCCCCTCCCCCAGCTTGCTGTGTCCATCAGTATTTACAAAGTTGGTACATACTGTGGTCAGCACATTCCAGCTTCAGTCTACCGTCTCCTCCACGATGAACTTTTAACAGAAAGATTGGGACCGAAAAGATGCCTGGGTCACTATTGTGCTCACAGTTGTCCTCAGTAAACTGGAGGGTTGTGGTCCCATTGGAGCAGCCAGACTGGAAGACAGACCACAGCCAGGGCACAGCCTGTTTTCCTCCAGAAGCTGTCCTATGACCGGTGTGCTCACTTCAGGAAGGAACATACTCAGGCCAAGCCCTCCTGCTACCTAATCTCATTCGTTTATTCATTCAACAAACAAGTTACTGATTACCTATGCTGTTCCAGGTGCTTTTCTGGATGCTGAGGGTGCAGAAGTGAACAAAGCAGACCCAACCTCTTGCCCTTGGGGAGCTTGAAGTCTCCATAAAGAGGGGGAGAATATTATGAACACTTGTCCCAACTAGGCTGAGGTCTCTTTCATGTCTCTTGATTTCTGCACTTTGACACATGCCCCCCCAGGAAGGCTCTGACTCATGGTTCGTCTTGGAGGACTGTCCATAGGTAAGCCCTTTTACCATAGAACTGCATCTCCATAAACAGTTATCATGGCAAAGCTGACAAACACAACCAGCCAGCAGCCAGGAGATCTTGATTCTGAAGTGCTTCTGCTGTTAGACTAGCTGCCTGACTGTGAGTCAGTCCTCGTAATCCTCCGTCTTCCTACCTAAACTGCGGTTGGACAAGAGGATGTTTAAGAGCCCTCTGCACTTGCAGAAATGGTGATCTCACCTAAGACATCATTCTCCCTACTTGGAACTGTTTCTTCTGTCCCAGTGCTTTCATTTTTTTCTGGAGTAGACAATTTCCTCATTGAGTCACAGCTGCCCCGCTTCCCCGCTGTCCTGCCAGGCCCTGCCGTGTCCCGAGCGCACAGCCGTAATAACGAGCATTTATTGTGGGATGACTCCGTACCAGGCGCCGCGTGAAGTTCTTTATGTGAATGAGTTGATTTAATTCTCACAGCAGGACTTGGAAGGTAGATAATCTTTTTCTGTCCATGTCACACAAAAGGAATTTAGGGCTTAGAGAATTTAAGTAACCTGCCAAGGTCACACAGTTGGTGGGAGATAGCGTTAGGATTCAAAGTGAGTTTTGTCTAAGTCCGGAGCCTAGGCTCTTGTCTGTTAGGCTATGGTGTATGTGTGTTTAATGAGTACTTTTTGGATGGATGGATGGATGGATGGATGGATGGATTCAGGCTGACACTTAGCCTGTGCTCATGGATGTGGCCATTGCACTGGTTTCTGGCTAGAATCTGCTCTAACTGGTGGATCAGTTGTTGAATAGTTTGCATATCTCTCTTGGGTGGATGGATGAGTAGATGGATACCCACATAGGGAATTATCAGATACAGAACTGTAGCACATTCCTGCGGACCTTGGAACATAATCAGTTGTTAGATTATGGATTCAGGTCAGGGTGGTGATGATGCTTCTGCCTGAATGCTGCTCTCTGGCAGCCTGACTGGAGAGACCTCCTTGGAATCTGCATCAGCCATGTGGTGACACCACTGGTTCCCACATCTGGAATGAATCCTCTGAAAGTGGAGGTTCCCAGGCTCCTGCTGTTTGTCCTCAGCTGGGGCTTTCCAGGGAGACTGAGCCGCCCTCCTCCCTCTCCTGTTCCAGGGCTCGCCTGCCCATCGTGCTGTTTGAGAAACGGCTCCTGTAGCCCCTCGGGTGGTGGAGGCTGTGCCGTGCACTTGAGGATGCATCCCAGCTGGGTTTCCAAACCTAAAAGAAAATAAATATTCTAACCAGGGAATTGGGTTATTGCTGTTTTAATCTGGGATTCCAGACAGTTCCCAGTGGAATGCTCATGGAAAGTACGGGGAAGAATCCGAAAGCCAAGACAGCGCAGGACATTTATGGTATTGCTATGTTGAAAGCATTTTTAGCTGCTTGTTTTAAAGAGATACTCACCAGACTGGTATGCCCCAGAGTGGCTTCTTTTCACCCTTTGTCCTCATTGATCTCCAGATAAACCCTCTCTCTCTTAACTCTTTCTTTTTCTCCTTTTATTCTGAAATCAAAATACAGCCTTTCTTGGTTGCAAGGGACGAGGTGTGGAAGGTGGGGAGCATAATGTTTAAGGTTCTCGTGCTGTGGGGTTCTCACCATTTTGTTCTGCAAACACAGAGCTATAGCCAAACTGAAGACGCAGTGTGACAAATTAGTGAACTATTGAGAAGGAGAAAGTGAGGACTTTTCCTCTTCCTTGACTGTGATAAAAAAAGAAAATACTAGGTGATAATTGGGGCAAAGTGTTAAGTGGTGATTCTAGAGGACTTGAAAGGGACAGGCCGGGGCAGTCTGGGCCCAGGAGAGGAGGAGCGCCCTGGGGAGAAGGGCCTGCCCCATGCCACCTGGTCTGGCCTCCTCAGTGGCCTCTCGGAGTCCTGCGGCAGCTTCCGCAAACTTCCCTGTTCCACCAGGAGAGCAAGCACAATATGTTTATTGAAAAGACAGAAAGATCTCTTTTTTCTCCCCCTTCTTCCATGTAGGGTACTGAATTTTTTTTTTCCTAAAGCTTGAGGGCAGAAGAGGTGAAGTGTGACAATTAGAGCAGGTAGGTGAAAACGGAAAGTTCATTCTTTAAAGGGAACATCAGCCTTTCATCCTGTACCTTGAAAATATTTACAGAACCATGGACCGCACCCCCAGCCACCCCCAAGACTGCCTTTTTCAAGGTCACTCTTGATTCTCTGAACAGTGGGAGGCCTCCTGGGGTGTGAAGGAGAGACTTCTTATCTGTCTGCCTAGGGGCCACTTTTTCTAAATTCATGGGTGGTGGGTGCCCAGGGGGCAGCCACAGGTACCTCACGAGCTGACCTCAGCCCTGTGAATTACTCCGCCTCCAACTGTGATGTTCAGGGCTGCCCACGTGATCACAGCGAGCATACTTCAGACGTACAGGGCAGAGTGTAGATCACTGAGTGCCTCGTCTTTATGAAATGCCTTTTAACGTAATCATGTCACATTTCTTCAACCTAATTGCTTTGAATCACAGGGTGACATTGTGCCCACAGCTTTCCATTTTGTGGTGCCAGTTTGCCCTCCTGAAATTCCTGCAAATTGGTATTTAAATTCGGAACCTAGGACTCATTCATCACATTTAATAGGATTACAGTTTATGGTGCTGCAGGTTAATATACAGCCGTCGTGGTGGCTCAGAGTTTTCTAGCGTCCGGACACCAGAAATAGTCCCTTGGCTCTACTTCCCTTCCTGGTGCATCTTTCAGAATTCTTACATTACTGCTCCTCCTCGTGTGTGTAATGCCCGTCTTTGGAAACGTTACCTCGCTGCTCACCCCCCTGGCGATTTTGCACTCTCAGCAGAGTGACTGGCTTTAAGACAGGCATGTGACGAGCACAGCTGTGTCGGAGCCAGGGTGGCGAAAGGAGGCGCGGGGGCCGGGGCCACCCTCCACTGCGTACACTTTCACGTTCTTTCTGCTCCCAAAGAAGAGGCCAAAATGGGGGTTAAAGGTAATCATGGCTGGTGTTTTATATCATTATAAGTAACCACACGGGTTCACATATAGGGTCTCGCTTAATCCTGCAGCAGTCCTAAGAGTAGGTATTGCTAACCCTACTTTAGAATTGAAAGTGGCTTCAAGTTCAGAAGGCACCATTTGGCCTTCTTAGGAGGAAACATCATGGCAGTCTCACGGACTTGAAAGTACAGACCTGCTGACTGTTGCAGGAGTCGGGCAGTCACAGGTGCAGGG